CTTTCTTAGACAGTATCAGTGTCGGGGACCTGCGAAGTGTGAAAGTTGTATATAGTAATAAATACATCTAACAATTGTCATGTAAAAAAGACTATTGTTGTGAATATTGACTAAGGGGTCGGATGCCATTCGAATACTTTAATGATATTTTAATTATAAACGTAATTATAAAAATCTAATTCTGACTAATGGTCGGTTATAACAAATTTTATTTACAATTACAGAAACATGCGACCAATGCGTTAAGATAACAGAATGTGCACCGGCTATGAATGATCTCCGCACAAATCGCAGTCCGGCGACAGTTAAAAAAGTGCATGATGCACTTTGTGGTTTTGATGGCATTCAAAAGGTAAATAATCTTATTGTAATTTCAAAGTATATTTCCAAGTGTTACAAAATTAAGATTGATTACAGGCTTTGTAAAAGTTTTTTTTTTTTATTTAAAATGATAATAATACAAATATACATTCATAATTCTATAATTTGTACTAATATTATGAAGAGGGAAGATTTGTATTTTTGTATGTATTAAATTAACTCAAAAACTACTGAACAGAATTCAAAAATTCTTCGACCATAAGAAAGGTTAATTTATCTCTGAGTAACATTGGATGTGTTTTTAATTATTTTTTTTTTAATTTCACACGGGCGTAGTGGTGAGTAACAGCTACTTATTTTTTAAGCATTGAATGTGTTAATGGGAAAAATCAGTTAATGCCACGCCTTTTTGTATGTCATTCAAAGTTTTGATAACCTATGAACTATGTACATATATGCATGTAGTATAGACCGACTAAATTATCTGACTCCGTGAACCTAAATCAAACTAAATTATGATAGCTAACCAGTTTCCCCTCTTAATGTCTAACTTTATTTAGTTGTAATTTTTACGTTGTTTTAATAGGTCTGCTGTTCCGATTTCTTTTCAAGTCGATCTTTGATTGAAGAAGTAGAAACAAATGTACAATCTTCTGGAGACGGAATTGAAAATCATCGTAACATCGGTCTTTTACCTACTGAGTGTGGTGATATAGATGGGACCAGAATTGTCGGCGGAGTCACTGCGGGCTTGTATGAGTTCCCGTGGCTGGCCCTCATTTCTTACAGAGACGGTGAGTGGTGCCTAATGTACAAATGGAATTTGAAAGGTTTGAAATACTCTGACCGCGTTTTTTTCTAGCTGAAAATAAGGGATCTTTGCCGTTTAAATGTGGTGGAACCGTTATAACTTCGAGATACGTACTGACGGCTGCCCATTGTATCGTCTACCAACATGTAGCTGGAGTTAGAATTGGTGACTACGACATTAGCCAAAAAGAGGATTGTGTGGGAGAGGAGGAACTCCGTGAATGTGAAACAAAATATCAGGTAGCGTAAGAGTTTTTTCTTTTAATTGAATTTAAACATGAGAAGAGATCGCGGATCTAAAGGGGGGAGAGGTACGACAGGAATGCTCTTTTTGTGCGTCCTCTACTTTGTTGATAAAGGCAGACAATAGATAGGCATCCGCAGCCTATGGGCAGTGCTAGCTAAACTATTTTGGAGGTTTGCGGTACCCGTTTGCTCCCTTGACGTCATTAAAAAAGTAGTACATTCTTTATGAAATAAATCAAATATAAGTACCTATTCAGAAGACAATTGTGTGTGGCAAAATCACAAATACACCCTCGAACTATAAATGAAGGTTGGTGATTTAAACGCTAAAGCATGAACCTAGAAATATTACACCTGAAGGTTTACTATTGTACAACTCTCGTATGCTCACTACTAAAACATGTACTTCCAACAGGATATCAGCGTAACTCACACAATTGCTCACCCCCGGTATGTTACACGACCTTATGTCTTAAATGACATTGGCCTGCTACGTCTGGCCAGAACTGTGGACTTTACTGTCAGTAAGTGTTTAGTAAATCCTGATATTTTTATGTAGTAGTGTTCACTAATTAACCTAATTCGATGCCTATTTTTTGATTAGACTTTATCATTATTGCTTCTGGTTATGTTAAATATTATATGAGACCCAAATTATTCTGATTTATCCAACTTAAACGTCGCAATTACCAGAATCGTAGTGTTGAATAGATTTGGTAATTAAAATTTTACTTACCTATACCAATATCTTACTTGCTTATTCGTTTGTTAATAAAGTTTACCATTTTACTTTAGGAAATTCAGGCTCAATATGTTTACCCGTAACAAAAGTACTGCGAGATAAAGATCTAGCAGGTGAGCGAGGTATCGTAGCTGGCTGGGGTATGGTCAACAGTACAACTAAATCTAATATTCTTCTTAAAGTTGAACTGCCTATATTCTCAAAAACCACGTGCAACACTTATTACAAAAGGTAAGGAAATACAAAACAAATATAATTACAGTTTTGAAACTAATTTTTAGTACTGAAGTAAAAAGAGCTAGGCACTATACGATAAGCGTCGGTAGCTCAGAAGTTCAAGGACACGACTTCCAATCTACAGTTCTTTTGTTCGAATCCCGCTATGTATTAATGTAGTTTTCGATTTTTATATGTACATAATTTACCAGACACTCTTATGGTAAAGGAAAACATGGCGGTGCAACGAAGAAAATTCAAAGATATGTGTGAAGTCAATCAATACTCACTAGGCCAGTGTGGTTGACTAAGTCCTAGTCACCCCTAACTTTGGGTAGGCTCTGAGCCTCTCCGTGGGGACGTAAAGAGCTGATGATGATGTTGATGGTGAAATGAATTTATGACTCAACAATTTATGATTTTAATTGTATTTCTTTTCAGATCTCCACGATCGAAAGGAATTGAAAGAATGACAAATACGTTTTGTGCTGGTGAAATAGGTCACGATTCTTGCAAAGGTGACTCTGGGGGACCTATGATGCTTGAATCATTGTACGATAATACGTTCAAATTTGTTCAGTATGGTATCGTGTCTTATGGGCCTCAGCAGTGTGGCTCAGAAAAACCTGGAGTATACACTGATGTACGAAAATTCTTAAAATGGATTTTGGATACAATTAAACCATAAAAAGAAATGAAACAAATATATATTTCATATAAGATTACTTTTTGTTGATTATTATTTCTAAAATCATTCTGCGTATCACATAACAGTTCTCTTCAGACAGAGCTAAGGTGAAAAAAAGATTTAGTGAATATTTTTACCATATGATATAACTGAATAAGCGGTATTATACAAAAAAAAATTGAGCACTTAAAAACAATTACATATAATTATATAATTTGAGAAATGCTAAGAACAAGCCATAACTTCCCTTCTCAAGTGTTTTAATGTTCTTCGCTTTCAAAAAATAATACACAATAATTAGTTAACGTAATTCATAAAGAAATTATGTAGAACATTATGTGTGCTGAGAATAGGGTATGAAATAAAATTCCCAGACGGTATCGTTTTTAATTTACAACGCTCGAAATATTAAGCTCGTAACAAACATTCGTTGTCAACTTAAATTACATAACAATAAAAAAACATCGTAAAACTAATAACAACGACGTGTTAGCAACAAACGCACACGAATTGCGTGTTTTTGATAAAACGAGTAACTTATTAATAACTTTCTATTACTTTAACTTGAATATTGGTAGTTTATGAGTTTGATGGATGTATTGTAACATGATTGGATATATAAATAGTTTTTTTTAGACTAAACAAATAAATAAGTAATTTTACTTAAGTAACGAACTAATCGATAAATCTGTGCTTAGTTCTGTATTAAAATTAAGTAATCATTTAGTAGACAGATGTATCTAAATATTTAGTAGGTTTTTTGCTAAATATCGACCGAAGTCCTTTATAGACGTTTCTTATAACAAATTAGTGCGGAACATAGAAAAAAGTTGAGAAGCAATTAGTGAAAAAGTATTTAGAAGGTTTCCCTTATTTTTTTTGTCGTTGCTCGTGTTAATTAGACGATATTACGAAAGCTAATGATACTCTACTAATAATCTATACTTCTATACTAATATAATAAAGCGCAAACACACACTAAATTGTTGCCTAAGATGTCAGCAATTACAGCATATTTTTAATTCTTTTTTTTAATAAAAAGCCCTACACGTGCGTCACGCTTTAGGCTATATATTTTCACGTTACTAAACTTAGAGGATAAGTAAATTGGAAAAACAGCTTCATGTGGGAAAGGGACCATAAACTTCAAGCTGCCAACATCAATGAAAAAAACTGACAGGGTTTGTCATCAAGTCATGTCATTTTGACATTTGAAATTGATAATTTGACAAATGTAAACAATAAAATACGATTCTTATAATTACACGCGGATGAAGCCGCACGTGAACAGCAAGTTACTAATAAATTAATATAGTAACATATGAACTATTGCGTGTCTACTTTCACGTGTAACTTGTAAAATGTGAAACTATAGCAGATGATATTTTGTTACTACGTATCTTTTAAAGCGTTAAATGAATCTCGATAGCACAAACTTATAGTAAAGTCCGAAAGAACATATAGGCTACTTACATAGTAATTTTCTTAATTTCGAGTGGAAAAAGTCCCGGATAAAAGCCGATATATTTATAAAGGTTGACCGAGCAGTGTGCTTGACGCGTCAACGCGCGTGGCCCGCGGCGTCGGCGCGTGGTGGGCGGCGCTGCGCGGCTGTACGGAATGCGTAGCCTATTTCCAATTTACGTCTATCAATCAACGGCAATCTCACTGAGTGGATTACTCGCAAATGAAATTTGCATAGGCTCCCGCGCTCGACATTTGTTGCTGATATTTATGTGCGGTGTCTTGTTTGTGTACTGGCTTTTAACGCTTCACTTAACTGATCTTTTTTATCATGTTTAGATAAGTTTAAGATTATCCTACATTGATATTTTTAAACTGTAATAAATGTTGTAAAAGACGTTAAATTTGTTTTAAGGATAATTAGCAAGATTTTATTAAAATATATTTAGACAGTATTCAACTTGCTCTATAACAGGATCTCATAAAACCTTTAGCGACGTTAACAGTTTAACGTAGTAGGAAGATAGTTTTAATTAACAGAAATTGAGTCTCAATGTCTACAACACAACGATCAATTTCGCATACTTCCGTCTCCCCGGTAGACACCGAAATACGCAATTATGATTTTAATTGACCCACGCCGTGGATTTGACACGAATATCCGTCGAGCTGGCTGTTTGTCAATAGTGTTTTTAGTGACTTACAGAAAAAATAACGTTTAATTACTGTAAATTATCTTTCAGCAGAAAAAAAAGTTTAATTTAAAAACATATGCTGCGATGTTCATTTGTTATTTATTTCAATCAACGATGTTTTTAATAATACACAATTATAGTTTGATGCTTGAATACTTATGTTTATACATAACTAGTTTTCGCCAACGACTCCGTTCACGTGGAATTAAAAGAAACAAAAGTGAGTATCTTATATATTCTTCCAGACTATCCTCTAGAAGTGTACCAAATTTCATCGGAATCCGTTCAGCCGTTCAGGCTACAAACATCCATCCATCCATCACACCATCCATTTCGCATTTATAATATTAGTATGGTTATCATTTATATTAAAGTGGTAACTTTCATGAGCTTTAGTTAAGCGTTATATTAGTTGTTGATTACAATCACGATTACCATTAACCAAGAGACATAAGTACACCACTAACAGATTCCTTTTGGTAAAACATCCCGTGAGAATCGTACATTCGTTACAACTCAATTATTTTATATTAAGTTACACGTGCTATTTCCCAAGAGATATTATATCGACAACATTAACAACTCAATTTTTCACCTCAGTTCACATCAAAACTTATCAGCAATTAATGAGTGTAAATATTAGATGTAACTCGCTATATCCTCAATTCGTGATACGATTTGAAGTTATATAATATTATGATTGATATCAACTGTCATATTTTTAAATTGGATTAGTCCATCTATACCCATTAAACTATAGTTCAACTAAAACTAGAAGCGGTCATAACCTTGTGATAACCCTTGTAAAAAAAATTACATTCTGTATCATGTCGATTTACTACGTACATTCAGAAATAAAAGTGTTATAATTAAAAATAAAACAGAAAACAAAACAGTTTGATACAGTCAATGGGAGTCTGTCTCCTGAGTTAGTAATAACAGTGTTTTAGAAGGCAGGGCCTTTTTTTTAACGATGGTCTTGCGCAATTTAAAATACTGTAATTCAAAAACAACTATATTTTTTAACTTATATCTGTAAAATTTCAAAGTTAAGTACAACTTACGGCTCTGCGAGCATTCAGAGTTAATTCTCATCATTATACATTTTTTTAACATAAATAAACCAGCGCTTGACAACGACTCCACCTAACCTAAGTGAAGACGCGGCCGAAGGATAGAGCGCGCTAGCTCAATAATTGCCGATACACCCTGCAATAATAATTGTTGTCGACACGACTGTACAAAGGTATAAAGGATGTTGAACTTTTTACAGGTATACCTTGACATTTAATTACTAGGGGTTAAATTTTAGGGGGAAATGGACTAACCCATTGAATCGCAGTAATCTCATTAGTGTATCAAAGCTTTGAGAATTAAAGTTTGATATTAAATGATTCGCAAATTCCGAGCAAACTCGACTCTCGAGATGCCTTTTTAATTGTAAACTTGTCTGTGATGTTTTGTAATTGTGTTTTATGACGAGTACTATACAGTCAAACAATGATGATAATTTATAATTTGTTTAACGATTTTAATTAATGTTACGGAATTTCTAAAGTCTCTGACTTACGAATTAAAATTAAACACAACGTTTTATTACTAAGAAAATCGTAATATACATTTTTAAACACAAGGATAATATGAAAAAGGATAGTGTTAATAAGTATTTATACTAGTTAGTGTCTATACGCTTTAATAACAGTGTTATAGAGGTTATAATATTTTGTACTTTTTTATCCCTGTCTGTACATTTTCTTATCTCTATATTCGTATAACTAAATAGTTACCCATATATATTCACTTCGAACTTTACTTTCTTATCATATTCTTACCTGAAACAAAAAAGAAACATTTCATATTACAGATAACTTTTATTTTAAGAGCAGCGGTGGCGCAGTTGTTAACGGCCACATTGTGCCGGACCATACTCTATACGAAAAGATTCGATCCCCACCATGTGTCTGTTTTTAGATTATCGATCTTTTTTGTACATTTGTCCAATGTACTTACGATGAAGAACAACATTGAGAGACCTGTTCATACCTGTAAAGAAATTCACAGATGTGTGTCAAGCAAGCCGTAGTAGACCAGCGTGGTTGATTATGACCTAGTCATCCGACCTTAAACTAGACTCTAAACCCTTCAGTTGGGATGATTACAGAAAATAATAATATTTAAAATATAAAATTGACGATTAAAATACCCAAAAAACAGGATACGTAAATAAAGAAAAGAAGTTGGAAAGGACAAAGTTTGTTTTAGTAGACTATAAGGAAGTAAAGATTATGTAAAGCGAAATGCGCATAAAATCCACGGGTCAGTGTACTTAGGCTCGGCGTTCCGCGTCTTAAAAGGAATTTATCCAGGAAAGCTCGTAGGAAATTCAAATACTCGAACGATAAAAGCATTTCTGATCTTGAAACCAATGAAATTCTATATTTTGTATGCGGTAGTTCATGAGGTAGAGGATTTATTGATTTATATTTTAATGTTTCGTTACCTTCTGCAGATTGGAGGAAGGATTACTCGCGGAGGGTCCTCGGGGATACTTGTAAGTACTTTAGGCTCGCGTTGGTAATCGGTTTTTCATCGAAATTACATTTCGGTTTAGGGAGCCCTGTTCTGTAACATATTTGTTCTTAGACGTATTTCTTATAGGAATTAGGTTTTTACAATTTTATTCTTAGACGTATATTTTTTAAATATGTATTAAGTTACTAGAAATATTAGTGGATTCTTTACATTTGTTGCATGCCAGTAAATATGTAGTATGGATAATTATCAAATTAAAGTATTTCATTGTGTTTAAAATTCAATGCAAATTCTATTAAACAAAAAGTCTAGGATTTGCGATTTGTTTTTGCATTTCCTTCACATG